GGGGGGGGGGGGGGGGGGGCGGGCGGAAGACAATTGTGAGCATAATCAGTTGGGACCTTTTTCTTCAAGAAACAGGTTGGTAGTTACACTCTCAGTAGGTTGTGGAAGATTACTGGCATTTTTCTGAAAGACCCATTACTAAAGATGCTCAGGTACAGGCAAGACTAAACTTTATGCAAGAAACAATATACATTTGCTGCCTGCATAAAAATTCAATTTTTTTGTTAAAAACAGAAAACCAGCATCCATATCGGAGAGATTTTTTTAAGTCTTTGTGTACATTTGACTTTCCAATCCCTCAAATAATCACAGATCATATGCAAGGTATTGCACTGACTTTGTATATCTAGATTATTAAAACCAAAAATAAACACAGTAGCCTAAACCTAAAAATCAACACAGTCCTCTTGGCTATATTATCAGTGGCTTAGATAAAATATTACTACCTAATAAATTATTGGCCAAGCCTTCATTCACTCTCACAAGACCCTATGAATAAAAGCACATTTTTTTACATCACTGGGTATGAAGAGCTTTGGCCAATACTTTTTACTTTTTCCTGAACTAAGTTGAATAAAACTGACAGTACTAAACATGGAGAAATAACTGTGTCAAAAAGTAATTCTTCTTTTTTGCTTGTTTTACACGTGAAACCTGACATAAGAAGGAAAAAGCAAATGGATCCCAGAGGTGAAATACAGTTACTATTTCCAGCTACAGCAGAACTCTGTATCAGCAAAAGAACATACAGCATGTATGAGAAGAACTTATGATGTTGTGTCATCACTTCAGTAAAGCCCAAGTTATGAAGTATTTGGAGCAAGTTTACAAAGGTCATGCAAAAGCCTCAACATGCTCTCTGGTCTCAGCACCCACCTACCCCTTACCCCCACTAGGAAGGTAATGCTTCTCCAAACAAACCAAATGCAGTAATACAGTGGAGGGGTTTTCTTGACACTGAAGGCTAACTGCAAACTGCAACAACAGAATTAAGTAGTAAAAATGTTTCAGTCCCCAAGTTTTAAATAATCTTAACAGATTTAGTGTGGTTTATGCCTGGTAATTGCTAGGCAGCCTCAGAGGGTTGAAAAGGAACGATTTAGGATTAACACCCATGATTCCCCTTCAACCAAAGACAGACATGGAAAGCTTAACTTGAAACCAAAATTGCTCACAGTATATCTGTTAGAAGTTTAGAAGGCTGAAAAATTAGGATATCAGCACACGGAAAACTCAGTATGTTGACAGTCTAGAAAGAAACTCAAGGTTTCTCTGTAACCTTAACTCAGAGGAGGACAGACACACGTGAACAGTGTATTCCCTCTTCTGCCCATGCTTATTGATGGAAATAATGGTGTGCATAGACAGCACTTTACCCAAGTCAATCAGCGTTGCCCAAGAACTCAGCAACTTTCCATGGATTTCAAGTCTGGGACCTACATTTGAGGACAGGGTTACAGAGGATAAAAACACAAACTTAAGTTGTAAGTTTTCCCCAAGTCGTCCATTTTGTACAAGTTTAGCTGGCTATTTTCAGCTGATCTCCCTTCCACAGATGTTCTTCCTCGTTAGAACCATGCTTGAGGCATGCACAATTTCACTACCATGACAGGTCTGCAGAAGACATATACGCTTTAATGCAGGTCCAGAAACGTGACAGTTTCTTGTTTGGCTATACAGCTGGGTAGAACTAAAAGAGGACTTAATGTCAACATTCAGTAAGGCTCACAAGCTAATCATACAAAGTAATTCAGTTTTAATACTTACTATCCAACCTTCCATCTTCTACTATTTGCAGTTGCAATGCTTTTGATTTGGCACTTAGTTCACTGTAAGGTAAATGAAACTATGTTAAGTCTTCGCATGTGAGCAGATTTTTGTTCCCACTTAGGTCTTCCCCCTTCCCACTCTGGTTGTCAACACCCTAACTTTCCATGGCCCACAGAAAGCCAGGCCCAACTTGCTGACCAAGGCAGGCAGCACTGGTGGGCTGCTGGGTATGCTGCGTGCATAAGTGTCTTTCTGACCTCAGGTAAGACTGACTAAAGGGATCAAGGTCAGAAAAACTTGGCTTGCTTCTCTCCAGTACTGCTGCCTAAAATTTCAGAGGCTTTTCTTCTCTCCAGGGGCACAAACATTGCCCTTCAAGCTGATGTTGGTCCCTAATCTGACAGCTACACCACAGCAGCAAGAAGCTATTTTTTTCCTGGCAGGATCAAATCTGTAAGTCAGGATGCTGGAACAGGTCCAATCAACAACCCATTCAAAGAGGTGGGCTATCCTGTCAAAGCAGGAAAGTGTCGTGCAAAAGCAGGATACATGCAAGTAAATAAAAGTAGTTACAGTCTTTATGTGAGGAGTCAGTATTACTTTTCCAAAATAAGACTCAAAGATATGGCAAGCTAACAAGAACTAGTTTCTGTGTGACAGAATCAACATGAACTATTAGCAGAATTACTGGCATATGTGGTACTGCACAAGATGGACTAGACAATAGATAAAAATCCTTTCCTCGGAGACAGTGAAGCAAACTGGGTACCTACTGAGAAATCTTTCAGTAAAACTTGATTTCATAACCTTCTCAGTAGGTGTTCTACCAAAAACCTTAAGGGCACACATATATGTACTTTATTTTTATATGTTTCCATTTCAGGGTGGTGTGATCTTGGTTGCAGGCAGCCCACCTTCATTAGATGCTGTGGGACATCATCTATGCAGCAGGTTTTAAGCTTTTCCCTGCTACTACCATCCCTTCCTGCACCTCTAAAACTTGAAAGGAATAGCCTTGATAGTACTATTGCTGCTCTTCCCACAAAGCTAAAGCAGAGTTTGACATGGTGGTCAGCACACTGGTCTTCAGACTTGCGGTTATTTTTGGTTTTGAAAAAAAGAAAAAGGGGGGAGGGGGGATGTGAACTTGAAAGAAGGTATGCAGCTAAATCCTGATCACTCATCTGTAAAGTCCCAAAAGCTTACCTCATGCGCTTCTGAAAAGCGGCCAATCTTATGGAAAACCCAGAATTATCCCTAGCTTCAAGGCCAAATTCCAGTCAACTTAATCACATCCTGCCTGCCCTCTCTCTGCACTTTCAGTTAGAAGGGTTATTATTCTCACAAGCTTCCTGTCCGAAATCACTGGGACCGTGTCTGCTCTGTGATACCGAGCATGAATGTTGTTCCACCAACAGATGGCTGAAATGATTCACAGATGCAATGGCTGAAGCACTCTGAGATAGTTCAGAACAGAAAGCTGCTACAGAAGTGCCTTTTTCCCCCCCTCTTACTATGGAGAAGGAATTGTATCATATTAATCCTTAAGTCTTGATGGCAATGCAGCACACTGTCACAGAAGAATGTTGTCTGATCTGTGGCTTTCCACAAAAGCTGTAGGTCCTCCTAACTAAAATCAGACTTTGTAAGTTGTTGGGCTGTATGTGTCTGAAGGAAGAGAGCTTCCTCACTGCTTTTCCACTTGACAGCAGGATGAGAGCCAGGTGCGTACACCTCCATCAGACCACATATAAAGGTGAGGCCTTCCAGTGGTGTTATACAACATCAATTTTTCTTTGCTGACTACAGTGACTTCTAATCATCTCCACCCCCTGCACACATGCAGAGGGGTCTGGTGTTCTCCAAGTCCTGTACAACTTGTCCTGTACAATGATCGATCCTGGTGCCTTCCTTCAAATCAAGCAGCCTCTGTCACTTTTCCTCTCAGATTTCCTGTTCTGCAGTTCACACTCCATAACATTCACAGGTGCAGTCCAGCAGACTGTGAAAAGGAGGCAGAAAAATATATGTGCACTGCACATTCACTCCTCTTCAAGTTGAGAAGGAGCACACAGAAGTGCACATTGCTCCTCGAGGAAGAGAGCGCTCCACACAGACAGGCACAGGTCTGAATACATGCCCAGTTCCTTGTATGCTAAGCCTCTGCTTTGCAAGAGAAAGAGCAGATACAGTGGATGCCAGGCTGCGACTAGACAGTGAAGCTGCTTCTGCCTGCCTGTGTGTGTGTTTAAAGCCACGAGAGAAACATCCCTCTGACCCATCCTTCCACCAGTGACTGCCCCCTTCCTCAATCCAGATATTCTTCTCTGCTGATAGAAAGTGAAAATGAAAATAGTTTTATAACTGCTCACTTTTGACCTTATTTACAGAAGCTATGTGAATCACAGAACACCATGCAGGCTGTCCAGAAGTCCCATTTTTGTTCTACAGAAAAAAAATAGCTAGTTTTACACTGTCTTTTTAATCATAGCCACCAATCTTTTAGATGCTAAATTTTTTTGCACATTTACATTACCTCCCTGGGGAGCGAAGGGAGAGACATCAGATTCCCTCAAATGCAGTTTTCAAGGCAAAGTAACTTTAAAACTTTGTTAACCCTTTTTTTGGCACTGTATGAAAGAAAAGGGTAATTTATTATGCCTATTACTGCTGTCATTTACTAGAATCAGACATCTACCAGGGAAGATTTAGAAACCTGTTTGATCTCATATTCATGCAGAGGGTAAGTAGAAATCCTGAAATCTCTACCAGCTCCAGAATGCTAACCTTGCATCGTTTAAGCAAAAAAAAAAAAAAAGCTTTACTATAAAAGAACTCTCAGTAGGTAAGTTACTTACAAGATAAACTCTTCCTTCCAAAAGGGATTTGCAGCATTTTTGGCTACAGAGCTGGAAAACTTCTGCATAGGGTCATTCAACTGAACTATACACGCAAGGTTTGTGCTGCCTGTAAGGGCAAGAAAAATCAATATCCAGTTATTAATATTCCATCATCAGGAAGCACACTTACTCAAAAGAAAGAACCCCCTTCCTTACACACTACACTTTTGAATAGACTATTGAAAAACTTCCTCACCCTTCCACAGAATAAATGTCTCCCCTCAGGTTGCAGACCACATACGTTAATGGTGATGGTCAAGTTTGCATTATCATTGTCCTTATGCACTGTTCTACATAGTGTGAAACATGACAACCCGATTTAAATTCTGGCATGAAGCAAAAAACTGTGGGCATAAAAAGATCAAAAAGGATGGGGACACAGAATGAATAGCAAGGTGGTGGTGGTGTGGGTGCAAGAAAGGGAAGGAGCAATATTGCTTTCAGCTGCTTTAAAAAAACCCAAAAGTTTTCAAAGTTCCTACTGCCCACAGACACAGTGGTTTCTTTGCACATCAAAGCAAGCTTTTTCTGCCAGCAAGTGAATGATGACAGTAGCGTTAATTAACAATGCCTTTGTGGACTGTGGGTTTTAACAAGTTCATGGCATTTTGGAGTACCGGTGCAGAATTACCTCTACCTTGATCTTGGAATTCGATAGTGTGGCAAATTGGCATATTAGAGTAGTTATATTGCTGCTTCAATGGGAAATAGTTTGCACAATGTGTTACACTTAAAACAATTTCTTTTGAATGGCTTTCACAGCATCAGAAATTATTTCAATACGAGTTCAAAACTATCAAGGAAAGTGGCAAAAAGCTCAGTACTGACTGTGTGCAAAGCATACAAAAGATATGCTGCCTCCAGTTCTCCAGAAGAATCCAGGTTTCTACTATCAGCTGTCCTCTGGTGGTGCATCGGGGCTGTGGATGAGCCCTATCACAGGCAGAGAAGCAGCTCGGGCCTGGCAAGGTTATTAGAGGAGAGAAAGCACTGTGTACACCCAGCTTATTTGGGATCCATGCTAACCCTGGAGTAAGTAGTTTAGCTGCTTTCACAGTGAGCTGAGCCCAAGTTAATGAACCTGGGGCAGTTTTCTGTTAACCTAGCCACACATCTCTGCAGCCAGCTCCTGCTGCCAGCAGTGCTCAGCAGCCCAGGACAGAAATGCCTGCATATCTCACCTGAAATTACACCAGACACTGACTGAATGATACTGAACAGGGTATTTCAGCACTTCTGCCCTGCAAACCCTGGTGTACACAACTAACAATTTTTTTCTTAACAGCAGAAATAACTTTTGCCCTAGATGATACATTGTGGCCTATACAGTACTAACTCTAGGATACTCTTTGTTTACATACACAAACTAAGGAGATAAAAATGGGCACAGCCTATAAGCAGAGACCAGTTCTGCTGCTGGTTACTCACCAGTTGAACTAACATCTCTACAGGAAAGCCACAAGCTCCTATAAACCATGTTAGCATCCATGGTTTATAGGATGATAATTACCAAGACAGACAAACTACCCCTCCCCAATCCTCTACCTACCTATGCAGGTTAGCTTGCAATATTGCACACTCTTACTGAGTTGCAACAGGATAATTAATTATTGCTGCAAGACAAGGCCAGGAAAAGGGAAGGGAATAATAATTAAAAGGCAGAAGCTAGCATCTTCCCAGCTGTGCGGTATTTCCACTGGATTTCAAGCGTACCAGCTAAACCCCACTATGAAGCTTTATTTCTCAAACTCAGTTCCAAAGCTTTAACACTCCCAGAGTTGCTAAGGAACCAGTAAAATTCTTTCCATCTCCTTTTAGTGATCCCCTCCTTTAGCAAATTATGATTCTGCTCACAATATCTGGCTACCCAAAGTACAGCACATTAATTGTCCCCTCTTCCTCTCATTTTCAGGGAGGGGGCAGAGGTTTCCCATATGATGAATCTTCTGTTGTATGTACCATATGCACATAACGGCATCTCATGACTTTTAAAAGCAGCCAAAATTATCTGTTCTTCTGAAAAGTTTAGTTTGCACTACAAAACTGCAGACTAATAACGAATTCTGAATGAGTTTTCCTGCAACCTACAGCTCCCAGCAGAGTTTTATTTACATAGGACATTTCACTGCAGAGTTCCAGAACTGCTTTAAAAATAATTAAAAAAAACAGTCTGCATAAAGTTTTAGAGGAATCACTTCCAACCAGGATGAGCAAAGCAGCATTATGCAAGAGTCTAGGGCAGAAACCTATTACATCTAGCTGAAAAAAGGAGTATAGCAAGTAGGATATATTTATCCAAAACGAGTGCCTTGCTCAGTTTAGCAGCCACAAGCTTCCATTAAAAGAACTGTTATAGAGTTGTTAGTGACCATAAATAACAGAGTCTCAAATTTGTATTTCCGCTGACAAAATCCAAAATATGCTTGCTCGTGCCTCAATCAGTGGTGGAGGCATGCCTGCACCTGAAGAAGCCTGAATACTTGTGAGAGGCTTGGTGCTTCTTTCCAAAACCAACACCACAACTCCACCAGGCAGTGACCTCCTTTCTGGCTTCATTTGCCACTTTCAAGAGGTACTCCCTCCCCAACCCACGGAGGTACTTATGGGGGGAAAAAAATCCCTGACAACAAAACACAACCTTTGAGGAGAGTTTACATAGAGGAGGAGAGTTTTAGATAAATCACCACATTGCTCAGAAGCAGCTGTAAAAATAAGGTAATAGTGAACCAAACCTATGCCACTGCTAACAGTTAATGGAGAGTTGGATTTGAGCCCCTCATCTTGGGTATACCCAAAGTGATAACTTTTAGAAACTAAAATGCAGAAAATAACCAACTTTATAAGTATGCTCACTTAAATTTGTTTTCAACAATGATGGATTTGTTTACAAGAAAATCAAGATGTTCAAGTTCTCAAATAAACCAAAATATACACAGTTTGTGCAAGCATGACTAAGTCCATTTCTCAGAGTACAGCAATTTCTTATGAATTATTTTGAGAGATGGTTGTAACCCAGAACTTCCAAATTATTTCAGCCAAAAGGAAAAAAACCCAACCCTGCTTGAAAACAAGCAGCATCCCATGGGCTATGTTACCTGCAGCACTGTGATCAGTTAGGTTTACCACGATGTTCTTCACCAGCAGTTTGAGTTCATGAGCCCTTGGAGGTTTAGGCGGACTAGTGCCCTGAGGGAGAAGGCTTATGTTCTGTACATTCTGTGAAAAGCAAGCAGAACAAGAGGGATTGTGCATATGCAAATACCAAGTACTTCTGTCACATTCATAAGGGGGAAGCTGACTGGGATGGGGTGTAACATCAACATCAAGATAGGCCACTCGAGAGTTATGATCACACAGCCTTCACTGCCAAAGGCTATGTTGTTTTAAAGAATGCATTCCAGTTGTTTCTGATCACCAAACAGTGTTAAAACTTACTCATTTGTGGAGTCATGAATATATAATAAAAAACACTAAGCAAAGGACACTTCTCAAAAGATTTAGGTAGGAATAAGACTTACCTGAACCTCCTTTATATCTGTAGGCCTTGTACTCAACACTACAGATGGAGAAACTGAGATAAAGAGGTTCCTCAAAACATCTCTGAGCATTTCAGATATTGCACATGTCCCTGCTGTCTGTCCCTAAGAGGAAACAAACAATAAACGCTTCTCAAAACTCAGAAGAAATAAGTTAAGACAAAAATTAATTTGGTATATCTAAACCACCAAAGCTATCAAACATCAGCTGTCGGAGAGACACATGGTTCCTGTTGCCAACAACAAAATGTAACAGGAGATCATGCAAATAGTTACTTAAATTTTTATGCTATGTATTAAAGGAAAACTAGGAATATACATTGAAAAAGTCACATGCTGTTCTGACAGATAGGGAGGTACAGCTATTAGCCACAAAACCAGAAGTTTCATTAACAGTTAACAGTTAATATCTTATGATGGTGTTTTAAAGTTTTTGTACTGCTCTGCGCCCCACTGAGAGAACAGATGAAGTCATCAGATAAGCGGATCGGCCAGTTCCACTGATTTAATGGGAGTTATGCCAGCTTGCAACAGCTGAGAAGAAGCTAATCCTCTGCTGCAGTGGAAAAAAAAAAAAAAAAAAAAAGCATCTCTTGGAGGTCTTTAATCTTGCTGAAAAATGTACTGTAAGGACAGATAGTCATGTTGCTCTAGGGGACTGACTTGTACATTTGCCCATCCAAAAATCTCAGGGCAATCTGTGCTTAACACCACTATCTCTGAGGGATCAGAGCAGACCACAGATTTTGCTTACACATGTAGCTCCACATGATTAATTGTAAGGTGTATGGAGATGGTGAACCACCCCTGCCCTCTCTGTGCTCCTGGAGAAGCCTGCTTCCCATGTCATGCTGCTCAGAAAGTCTCTTCTGCTCAGTTACCTACAAAGAGTGGATTTTTAAATTAAGCTATTACAGAAACAGCAGTTTGGTACCCAATTGCTCTGAAGGAAGCACAGGAGAAATCTCTGTGAGGTTTCTTTTCAAAAGAAAAGATTGAATTAGGAGACAAAGATCTGACCTGAACAACAGAGAACTCATCCATCTTTTCCCACCCGAAACCACACCTGAGAGACTTTACTATTGCAGAACAAGGCTTTAAACGAAAGGAAACTGATTTACAGTTTCGGATACTGACTAACTGGAGAATGCAATAACCACACAAAGCAGAAAAAAGGTTCCCTTTTGCATGCTGCTGTCTGACAGGAACATGCCCACAACCAGCATGCCATGGCCAACAAAGCAAGCCCTGCTGCAAAGACAAGGCGCACTGATTACAAGGATACCTTATTTGCACCAGCAGGAAGATCAAGTGGGGAATTGAAGGCCTAATCCTGGTAGATCCTGCTTTGGTAACACTGCAGCTGTGCACCACCAGCTGTCAGCACTACCTGAGCCACACTGATGCAGCCACGCATCACTATGAAGCCTCAAGGCAGTGACAGCTGAAGTCTCAAACAACCACGTTTCTGTGGATGTGGCAGAGCACAGGCTTTGCTGGGCCACCCTGGACACCCTGCAGCACACTTCTCCATTACACAGGGCTCTTGGCACAAGAGGCAATCTTTCCTTTCCAAAGTCTCAGTCCTTTCTCAGGTGTAAGAGAATGATCGTGCAATGACTTCTGCACTCCTAAAAGTATGCTTGCAGCTTGCACAACAGGTCAAACAGATTTGGAGTAACAGCCCTTTCCCAATCACCCAAGCATTACAGAAACATTTAGGGTGTTTCATAAAAATCCCAGGAATGCTGTGTACAGAAATCCTGTTTCACTGCTTTCTTACCTAACCGCCCTTTGATGACATGTCGCTACGGTTCAAAACATACAACAGCATTGACCAATTCACATAAACTGCGTTGTTCACACCAAGCTCCCTCAAACAGCCACCAAGGAAAGAGGCAGCAGCACATTTCTGCAACTTGCAGATAATACTCTCTTACTTTAAAAAAAAAAATTAAAGTAAATCAGGCTGTCTAAAGCCTTGGTTTCAGTAAGTTAATTACTTATGTTATTTAAATAAGCAGATAAATTGTGGTTAGTTTTCACTATTTTGAAAGTGCCCTTACCTAAACACTGATGAAGAGTGCTGTCAAACTGTAAAATCCTAGCTGCCCCTCATGTTGCCATGAACCTAATCTGACATATGTAACGGTAGCAACAGCAACAACAGTCATTAGACTACTACTCATAGGTGTTTTCTGATGTTTCCATAGTTATTTGGAAAACAGTTTGGTTAAAGAGCCTCCTGTCAGCCCAACCTCATTTTTAGCCATACTGATTTGGAAAGTAATACTCCATCACGACACCCTCTACAAGGCAAGCCACAATGGCTTAATTATCAACCAAAAAGGCTTAAGAGAACACCTTTAATTTGGGTTTGACAGGGGCTAGGGGCATACAGCCATCTACGTGGCCAGCTTGGGGCACACCAGCAGATAAAGTCACAGTAACACAACCACATGCAAACTCAAGTCCCGCCAGTCAGCCAGAGTGCCAAATGCAACTCAGGTTCAACTAGCTATTATCAACAGAAAATAGGTTATTATATTCACCTTGTTTGACTAATGACAAAACCACTGTGTAGATAATCACAAGCAATTAAAGGTATTTATTTGTACATACAATATTCCAAAAGAGGAAAAAACAAGACACACAGAAGCTGACATTTAAGTTTAGGAACTGAAACAATTTCCGAGGGGTAAGTTGCTCACAGGTTTTAGCTATTCATTTATTGCCTCCCCTCTTCCCTAAGTGCTAATAGAAACTTCAAAGTGAAAATAAAGCCTTTAACTATTAAGAACTTAACAGGCTTATTTTAAAAACGCAGGCAAAGTGCAGTAAGTTGCAATTCCTTTGCAAGCCTGGACTCAGGCATCTCTCAAAAAGCAGGTTGTGAAGTCCAGTGACTGTACTAGAGTCATTTGCATTTGTCATTAAGTACTTAATGACTCTTCAATATGTGGATAATCAGCATGCCACCCCAACACATGAAAGCCATTTACACTGCCACGCGTGCACAGTAAAATCTATATTAAAACACACTTTAAAAGACTTGTCTGTCTTTGGTTACGAGTTTCACGTTTTTGTGTACAAAACCTATGGTAATAAATTACTATGATTCTAGGTCACTCAGTACAGGTCTTTAGAAGCAGTTCCACTATACAATAAACCTATTTTATAAGGAGTCTTTCAGTTGGAAAACCAGCTTCACAAAACACAGGGAGGCTTCACCCACTGTTTTAAGAAAGACTTAAGTCACCACATCTGTGCCAAAAAAAAAATAAAATTGTGAAGAGTCAAAGGCAGAAGAGAGTCTCAGTCATGAAGAAACTCTTTCAGGGAACGTCCCAATAAAAAAAAAAAAAAAGAATCGGTGTTTATATACTAAGATAAGGTACAATTTCAAAATGAAGAAGATATTTTTAGACCATCCCATCATTTCCTTAAATAATTGTATTTTTTCCAGAGCTGTTTCTGAACTATCGTTGACAGATTTCAAAATTGATTTAAGTTAAGGAAAGGGCAACTTTGTAATTACTTTGATGGGAACACAACTACAATTGGGTTTTTTTTTATTATTTTAGAAGTGCTCTGAGAGAAGGCATTTAGGAACAGACATTTTTCACACCTTTGAATCTGGATGAAAAATGTTTGCGAAGTTACTTGTCTGTCAAATACAGACTTCTCTTTAATGCTTCAGTCATCTTGAGAAATGCCCCTAGATTTCAGAGACATAGGGTTTTGACTGATGAGCCATGGCAGATTTTACTGAAGCAGCAGCTCAAGATTGCACTGTGGACAGGTAACTGCTTCTACTGAAGGCAGCCAGCAGAAAGGAACATGCATTTCTGCTTCAGCTCTTCTAGCCTCACCCGATACCTTAGCTCTAGACACTGACTGCTAACCTAAACAGTTATACTGGGTTTTGCACTGAAGGGATAGAGACCCATCTTGTCTGCCACTGTAACAAGTAAAACTGACTGACCTCCTGCACTGCTGGCTGGATTTCAAAGTTGGTTTCATCGGCGTTAAGGAGGAACCACTCAACTTTGACATCTTCTTTGTCTTTCACACAGAGCTGAAGCTGTGGATAGGAAAGCAGTTATTGGAGTGTTCTGGTGTCCTGCAAAGAAATTGTAGGTCAAGCTCCACACTAAGGCTTGCCAAAGAAGAATGATACCAGTTCCTAAGTAAATTCAAAGTGACAGTCTAAGAAGGCAGAAGTTACTTAATCTTTGAGAGTGAATGCCAGTCAAAAAAGGATATTGTTCTATATACCCAAGTAGTCTACCCAATGTGTTATTTATCCACCGTCTCCTAAAGGTGACTTAACTTATGAATTTATCACTTGCCCCAGAGGGAAACTGTACTATTAAATGTTTCACTGGAGTTAACATGTGTTAGTATGCATTTTGCAAACAGGAGGTTCAGCTCAGCTTCAGGATGAGATTAACAAAGCGAAAGAGAGAACAACACTTAACACTTTACCTGCAAGTGAAGTGGAGACAGTTTCACACTGTAGGACTGACCTTCTGCAGCCGCGGGCGAAGTATCTGAGACAGTGACAACAAATTTAACGGAATCTCCCACAACATTACAAGAAACCACCTAAAGAAATGGAAGGGGGTGGGGGTGAGACACAGGAAGGGAAAAACAAGTTAGTCTTTGGAAGAAGGTTTGTTGAAGGCAAGAAAGCAACTAAGAAAAGGAATGACTTTAAGCAACCAGAATTATGCTGAATTCCGCAGGTGGGCTATTTCTAAGCAACTTCATCAACATCCCTACCTCCTTCTATATATTCACTTCTAAAAAGCATAGCTCAAGTGTTTGCTTCTGGACACAGACTGTAATACCTGGAAATTCTGGTATTTTCCAAAATTCCCTCGGCATTGTTATCCAATACAAAAGTAATGCCTCACCTGACACAGACTCCTTTGTGTTTCATGTATCTATATATTAAAAACTCTAAGATCACAATTTTGCACCAGGAAGGCAAAGAAGTTTGCTGCTCTTCCTCTTCTGCTTCGAACTAAGTAGCCTACCACAGAATAGCTGGTTTTACCAAACAAGATTTCAGTGGTATCCTATAATGGTCAAACTTCAGCATAACCCTGCTACTGCAGAGGATGTTGTCTGAGTAATTCCAGTTCTCAGTGGGGTAGGGAGAAGCGAGAGCCTTTAAAAGTTTATTCAGTCTTTGACCAAACCAAGAAAGGCCCTTAAAAGTTTGGTGATGAAACTGCATGTCTGGGACTAGCTTGTATGCCACTTGACAGCAACAGACTTCATTGAGTACACCCCCTCATTTCCATGAGCAGTAATTTAACTCATTATCACACTGAGATTACAAACACTGAATGTTTTTTCCTCCCTCTCCTCTGCAAACTGACAGAGGTGCTGGAGCTGCTGTGCAGAATTCCGAGTGTGTGGTAAGCACCTGGTGGCACAGCAAAGCCCCAGGTACACAAGTCAGAAATCAGTCATTATGCCAGAGAGAAATTCAACTTTGCAAAAAGCTCTGCTGGTTGAAGACAGCGACTCATCACTGTCCCCACAGCTCCACCATTGCAAAGGACAGTTGAGCCTTCCATAGACTGACTCAGGCAAACTTAACCAGGTTAATGCAATGCACAGACAACGCAAGATTTGTCTGACAGGCACTCTTCATGTATGCTATTAGATTATGTTTGCGCACTTATTGCTTCACTTATGGGCACTGGAATCGAAGCTGAAGGCTTAAAAATTAATCATGTACTTTCTGGAAGATCTTTATCAGTCTCTCCTTAAATATACTTCATCTCCCTGGGCTCTATAGCATACATTTTAAGAAGGACCAGAGCACCATCAAGGGCTTCAGAGCACATCCATTAAGGTAGAGACTTAATTGCAAATGAGTGGGGGGAAGGGGTGGACATGACAAATAAAAATCCCAACCACACCCACAAGCAACAAGATTTGCCTTTTCAGGTTTGTCTTCTGCAAATTACAGTTTACAAGTAGACAAATCAGTTTCCCTCACCTCTTCCCTTCCCCAGAGTCCAACTTCCTTCAGAAGTGGTTTCTGACCCTTAAACTCACATAATCAACAAAAACATCCATTACTATGATATAACGTAAAGCATTTTTAAGCATTTTTAATAGCTAACAAGAGCAAAGAGCCTAACTGCTTATTTTACTTGTAACTGAGTTGAAACAGAATCACTCCTTTCATTCACAAGGATGGACTGGCATGGTAGGTCTTTGAAGACTTCAAAAATGAATAGGTTCTTCCCTCTTTTTCAAGGGCAAAGGAGGGGAAAGGACAGGTCTGACGCAAAAGCTGCTGATACTTGCACATCCTAAATGCAGTGGATATCATTCATGCTCATTTCATCCACACATGCATAGGAATTCAGTGCATTCAGAACAAGTTGGACTTGCTGCACACGTGATGTAAGAGCCATTCATCTGGAATTTCTGGATGTCTAAGAGTCAAGGTTGCCAGGTATGCAGATGATTACTGCTTAAAAAAAAAAAAACCAAACAAAAACAGCACAGCAGGAGAGTTGGTAGATGAGTTCATGTGCCACTTTTTTCTTAACTGTGTTTACTTCTAAGTAAAGGATGGAAACAGACACAGTAGGTGACAGATCTTTCACTCTTCTTTCTACACCTGTCAAGAGATGCTAAAATCCATTTTTTAAGTATTTGTACTTTTAGGTTAAGAGCCCAAGGTTAGGTTCGGTTTAGTCTCTCGGATTGATTTATTTTCTGCCAAAGACATCTACCAAGTCCTACTCCCCTTTTCCCTTCACTTTTAATAAAATAACTGTGGTCTTCAGGTACAGAGGCCTGCTAATTTTTAATCCAACCAGAAAAAGGAGTGGTTCCACATTTGTTAACTGAAAATAGTATGTCTTTGTATCAGGTGAATCCCTTTGTTCTGGGAAAAGGATGGATTAAGGAGAAGTAGAATTCTGGTTAGAATTTGAAGAGAAAGTGATTATGTTTCCATCTAAGATGCTGCCACAAGTAGTGAGAGGTTGATTAAAGAGACAGAACTGCTGCTTCTCATTGTAAGTGACATTCCTTTAGAAGCGCAGTGCATGATTTTCATAGAACCAAGCAGAAATATGTAGGCTGTTTTCCCCAGAACAGTCACTTGAAGAAAAATACTGAAGCCTCCTGTGCTATGCTCCTCTTTCTTCATGCCCATCCTACCTGCTTTCTCAAATTCTTTTTCTCTGCACAGATGAAGAGCAGAAGAAGGAAGGGTCAGGCAAAGTCATCCACCTTTCTGGTGGATGAGGAAGGATAGATGTTCACAAGAAAACATTAGCACCTGGACTGATGGGAAGGGAATTGCTCTTCAACTTCATTTATGTTCCTCATCTCTTTCCCCTACTCGTCTTTACCAGGGACATCACTCCAATGAGCTGCAGATGCTGTAACACACCTTGCTTATACATATCTAAAATTGTTAGTAAAATTATTCTAAAAAAACTCAATCAGATAAACAACTGCACAAATGAAGGAGACTGTAAAAGCACTACAGTTGGAGCAAGACAAATATTTTTGTGAGAAACTCAAGTGTCCGAAAACATGTACCCACAGCTATTAAAGTTCTTTTCCCTGCTTTGCCTTCTCCCTCTACAACTTGACTTTTTCCCCACTGCAGTCCCTCTGGACAGAGCTGTAAATTTCCATTTCTATCCTCTGAAGTAGAAACAGAAGCTGCTTCATCTCAAGGAGCACCAGAGTACCTCTGTTCCTCACACAGGGTGTCCTCTTGCCTTGAGGTTTCAGGTTTGGCACTGGTACCTCACCAATCTGTGCATTACACATGGCCTTTCTGTTACTCCTCCCTCCCCTCTCCACGTGCAGCAGCAGGTTCCCTCCCATGGCCAAGGGGGAGTGAAGGGCCATTATTTTAGCGGTAAGTTCTGACAGTCCTGCTGGGGAAGGTCGTCTTCATCTTCCCCAGTCGCATCAGATATGTGCACAAAACTCTCAGCATTACAGGTCTTGATTGCTTTTTTCTGGAAAAAAATCAGTCTTACTGCACTTGGCATTCATTTCCAGAAAGAGAAGGTTACTTAAGGTTATTCCATAGTATGTAAGTAATACAAATCTAACATTTTCACAAGAAAATGAGTATACACCATAAGGCAGCCACACAGTGAAAGCTGCCTTGACCTTAACTGTAGGGATCAGTACACTGTTAGATTCAGGACCCCCACAATTTCCCATACTTGTTTTGGAGTACTACTCTGAGAAAGAGAAAGCTCCTTTTTTTGGCATGGAAAACTTATCTTGTCAACGGCCACACAGACAGTTTGTGTGCTCAGCTTAAAACCCCACCATTAGAAAGTTTTCCAGTCAGAAACTTCCACCTTTTGATAGTTGTAACAGCTGTTCAGAAGAAGAATTACATGATCTTCCTTGGTTACCGGAACCTATGCATTAACTTCTTGAGGGGGGTTTCTCTGGCTTCTTCACCATGCCCTCTTTACCCAAGCAGTTTACCAAGTGACACAGACAGGCTGAAGGAAGAGAAGGCAAATGCAACATCTAACACAGGCACAGCCAGAGGTGGATCTTTAGAAGCCGGTATCAAACTGAATTTGTCTGCAAATATAATGAGATAACCGTAGACCAGTTTTCCAAAATGATGGCAAACACCAGGGTGAAGGCTGGGTGAGTGATGGAATGAGTGCAGGAGAGAGTGAGTTACCAGAAACAAAGCAGAAACTGATAAAACGTGAATTTATCCTCTCCTTAGAGACTGACAGCCATACAAAAAAAAGTGGAAAAATGGGACGGGGGCATTAAGCAAACAAGCAGGAAGTACAAGGAGACAGGACAGGAAAAATTTTAAATCCACCTATCAAGTTAAGTGAATACCAACAGTGCAAGGACAGGAAGCATTACTTATATTTAAGGGGGAAAATACATAAATACCAGAAACAGACCTGCTGGTTTAGCTTCTCTAACACACAAGTCTTTACAAACCATTTGAGAGATAGCATAACTGAAGACATGACGAGCAACAGAAGACAAAAAAACAGGAGAGGCTTGCCAGTTTTGTGCTACAATAGTTTGGAGAGAGATTCAGTTGCAGAGACAAGGTCACACTGTGCCATTGGGGTGCTAAGGCATCCCAGACCCCTGCACCAAGCTGGCAGATGTGGTACAAGCCTACAGGAGGCCCACAAACATCTGCAGTAGCAGCTGGAATACAGGCAGGCTACCTGACAGTGCCAAAACCAGCATTATCTCCACTGAAGCAAACAAATCCCCACCCTGATGTCTTCCTTCAAGATACTCAGTTCTTAAGTAGGTTAGATCCATTATGTTGTCTTGCCTATTTAGTAGGGTCACCCCACTGATAATTAAGCTTGTACTCCATCATTTCCATGTTAAGGTGAAAGGGGATGTGTTTGAAAGGGAGAGGACAGTACAGTGAGCAGGGAGGTGAAAGCTGGAAACAAGTTACAAAGGAGTCTGCCAGGCACCAACCCTCTTGCATAACGTCCAAAATCCCTCAGGAGAAATCTGAAAGGAAGTGTGATGCTGAGCAAAGCAAGCTGGGAAGCAGCAATATAAAGGAAGATTAGGACATCAAAAAGAAAAGCTGAAAAAACCTTGAAGACTAGAAGAGAAATGCAATTCAAAACAGAGTGTGTGTATGAGAATTAACAAATACTACTCCTACAAAGGACTGCTTATCACTGGGAGAACACCAAACGAAGAGAGACCTGGATGCATCAAGTCAATCACAGTATGAAGCAGACACAGGAGAGGCAGACTGGAAGCCTAAAACGCATCAAGAAAGTACCTTCAGAGACACAAAGCAGCAGCAATTTTGCATGGTGAGACCTCACCTGTAGGGCTGTGTGTCACTTCAGCCATCAAACTCAAGAAAATGGATTTAACTGGAGCTGCTGCAAAGAATGGGTGCACAAGAATGACTTACCAGGCAGGGCAACACTGTGAAAAGAGACTTAAACAACTTATTTAGCCAAGCTAAACAAAGGCTGGAAGGAAATAAAATTCCTTCACAACGTATTTTTTGACAGCAAGCACCATGGAAGAAAAGTAAATACACTGAGGATAAAGGATTATACTAGTACAGAAACTAAAAACCAACAAAAAAGAATTTAAAAGAGCTGCACGGGCCCTGATTCCACTTAGGCTTGTAAAAAAACTCCAGTCATTAAAGCAGCAAAGCTCCAGGGCAGCTTTTCAAGCAAAACACGGAGTTAAAAGACAATAGGAACTGCACATGACAGTCAGGGCAGTTCACCAAAAATAATCAGAAATAAACACATGTACGTAACTAAGAAGGATTTCAGCTAGTACTGTAGCGATGACAACGAGACACCAGTCTTTCCTGGAAAGGAAAGCAGCCTGCCTTTGCTGCACAATGTCCCTACCTGCTTCAGAGCAAGTGGAACTGGAAGCCCCGAGGCCCCCGTGTGGCACGACCACGGGCTGCCAGCTCACAACAGGATGGCTGCAAAGGGATACCAAGATGAAGCTATGACAGCTGTGTGGGTGCATAAGGCCTCTACAGGCACGCTGTGCAGCTCATCAGAAAACAGGACCCATCACAAGACTGCTAAACAGTCCTTTCTCTCCACCATTTCCCTCAGCAAGATTCATCACACAAAAGCTAACATGAAGCTTTCATATTTGCTGTTGCTTGTGATCCAAGACAGTCATTCCTTGTACACGAACGTATTACCCTATTAAAGGAATGGCACTCCGAGGGCATTTTACTCTATTCTATTTAAGCATGAAGCAGGAAAAGAAGGGAGACTTCTATTGTAGTCTGCTCCACCTGACCCAAGTCCCCAACAACAGAATCATCCTTTTTCTTGCCTTTGTTGTTGCTGTGAATTTCAAAGCCTCTGGAAATAGACTGCAGTAATGGAAAGGTTGGCAGAATTAGCTAAGAATATTCCTAATGTTTACTTTATTAAAACAAAACAACCAACACCATGCAATGAAAATGGGCCACTTCATTCTATGTATTTAGGCTCTGGCCCAAAACTGGAGTGAAGGCAATGTATAAATAGAGGCTTTGTCAAGAAGCAGTGTGGTGTAACCTTCAGCCACAGAGCAGCTCTGTCCCTGTCACAACAGCTTTGGCCAAGCTGACAACCAGCAGCTTCCCCAACCGTGCCTGCAGCACTGCACCGTGGAACATACACCAGTTTTAAAACTTTCAGCTTCTTTAAGGCAAGGAAGTATGTATATACGTAAGGACTGCATGTGTCAACGTGTGTCCTGGATGTAAACAGAGCTGTCAGCACTAATGTGATAATTACAGTCTGGCTGGCAATCCCGAATTGTTTCAGAGCAAGACTTCCCAGGCAGGAGGCTCACTCCCAGCAGCAAGCAGGCAGGCTCATCACCTGGCTGTGCTCCATGGCCCAGCCTTCAGGACAGAGGACCACCCACCACAAAAGACATACCACAGGGCTCAATCAGCATACAGCTGTGTTAAAGTATTACATATCCCATGTTTACTGCTTTTTTGACCTCTCACTCTCAGTCCTCCACTTTGATGACCACAACCTCTCTGATGCAAGGTCAAACACATATTTAAAATGACATGCAACAAATCAAGCCCTGGCTGCTGAACTAAGGCACCTATATGGTCTTGCCATACCCATCACAAGTAAAGCAGCATGTTGAACTGGTTGCAGGAAAATAGTCTTGTGCCAGCTGAAGCCTCAGGCAAGTGCAGAGCTCTGCAGGATGCTACAACACTGACAAACATGCAGCATATTCTACATTCACAAACTACATTCAGAGCCAGTCACACAAGTAGTGAGTTATAAACACGTCTCAGAAATTTGTATTTCAACAAGCTGCAGAGAAGTTTCAATTTCATAGGCAAAGATTAAGAGTTTGAAGAGCAAGGGGTGGACAGAAAACACCACAAAACCCACAACCTTTGGACCCTTGGTACTACCTGAGGAATATGCAAGAGAGACAATTATCATATGAGAGAACCCCTGAGGTGTTTAGAGAATGGTACTCATTTAAGCAAGGAGGGAAAGTAGCTACCAGAGTGCCATCCTATGTTTGTTACACACTGAAATCCAGATAAACATTCAGGTTGTACCTTAACTGAAGGAGTAAGAATAATTCAGAGAAATTTTTCCAGCAGCTGTGCACAAGATTATGGAAATTGGTTTTGGGATAGTTCAGAACAAGCCAGATTACGTAAGCAAACCTGGTTTAATCCAATACATGTTTAAATGTGCTTATATTGGTTTAAACTGCTGCAAAATTACATTAGATTGCTGGCTGCAGTTTTACAGCTTGATCAACATACTGAAATGGCTCAACCCAAGGTCAGACAAGGACCAGAGACTGAACAAGGAAGAGTGCTGGATTGGAAAACCACAGGTATGGGAGAGCAAAAAAAACAGTCCTATAGCAGCGAGCAGTTCCCCAGGCTTAGGCTGCTGCAGAGCCAGTGCTTGCTACCTTCTGCTGCCCAAGCTTAACCACAGCAGGTTAAGATGCCCACAGGGCACCGCGGGCACTAAACTACTGCGCTTCTACAGCAGTCAGAATCTACAGTTAAACACCACAAGTTAACTGAGGACTGCAGCAGAGATGCTGCCAGTGGTACAATATGACTTCAGGGAAACCCAGGACTGCAGCACTGTGCCTTGGTTCTGACATGCAGGCAAAAGCGAGTTTTAGCCTTGAGACACTGCTCTCGTGGGCCAGCCACAGGCACAGTACTCTGAGAACAGAGCTGACCCCATGCACCCGGGCTGAATTTTGATGCCAGCCAAGGGCAGTCAGCAGACCCAAACCTTCTGGCCATCTCCCATACAAACACATTTGCAACCCTGTCTGCCTTCCAGAAACGTTTTAAGCAGTGCACTGCAAGACACCTGTTTTTGTGCTATTAGTCACTAGCTTTCATTTGCAGCAGATCTCCCTCAGTTGCTGGCTTCACACATTATACAGCACATCACTTTTAGACCTAGCAGTCCTCTCCCTTACAATTTCCCATTGTGGTTTCTTCCAGTGGCACTGAAGAACACTAGCACCAACTCTACAGCCCTACCAACTCCAGTCTCTCTAGCCTCAGTGCTGGGGCAGGGACCACTGGTGGGGGAAAAAAAAACAAAGAAAGAAAAAAGGAGGGAAAAAAAATAGAGAACAAGTGCACAAACAACTTCACATGTTAGCAATCCCCAGCTGTCACCCATCAGGGTGTGCCTGTAAGTTGTGTATCAGACAGATAGGCACGCATAGTTTTCAAAGCAATCATAGTAGAGCTGCTTAACATCTAAATCAGACAAGCAAACCAAAATAACAAAGCAAAACTAGAAGAAAAGCATTAGGCTAATTTGATGCAGGTGCCTAAAGCTGAGCCGCAGTTCAGATGTGACTAGTAGTTACAGTCACCAGGATGAAAATGCAGAAACTATCACTGCCAATAAGCATAAATACAAGTGTTTTTTTTCCTTTTAATACATTACTCTGTTCTAAGAGCCACATTCTGCCATATTTTAATTTTACATGCACTAAGCCACTTCCCAGTATGTGGGGTGGGGGTAGGAGAGGAAGAAAGAGATCATTTGCTCCTCACTGAATACAGGATTCAGTAGAGTCAAAGCTTCACCCTCAGGACTTTGCACCTTCTCCACTGATCCCTACCCGGCTCCGACTTACGAAGCAAACCTGTAATCAGCCACACAAACAGCAAGATGCAAAGATGTTTTCGTGTCCCAGAGGAGAAGTATCCCTTTCCTTCTTCACGAAGTCCCCACCCCACACTTCAGCAATAGGATGGGGAACCACCATGCCGATAATAAATGTGTGAGGAGACGGCTGCTGTACAAGTTCACTGAAGGTGTACCTATAAACTTGGCATAACTCTGGTTGTTGGCCATTTTGCAGAAGCCTTGGAGCACATTCTGCTCACTACTCACAAAAGTGAATCAATGCAAAGAGGTTGTAGAGAGGCAGTCTCTTATTAACCTTGACAAACTTTGGTCAAGATTATAGAACTATTGACAAATAAAACTCCCACTGACATTAGTAAGAAAAGTCAACATTTCCTGACCAAAAGTACACTGAAACAAAACAAAACCGAGATTTACCTTCTCTTGAGCTGACTTTACAACACTAACAACTTCTTTAACTGATAGCTCAAGTGGTTCTGGTGGGTCATCTTCCTCAAATGTAAGCAACTGTGAATCCTAATTAAAAAAAAAAATAAAAAATCATCATTAGGTGAAGAACCCATCACTTGAAAATGAGTGATAAAAATGCACTGCCAGTGATATTCCTGGAAGAACTGGAGACAGAATTGCAAATCTATGTCAAAACTTGTATGTATTAATTGCATGACACCTTACTACATAATACAGGGTAGAGTCTGAAAACCTATACTTAAGACATAACTATGGGCCTAATCATAACTCATCTTTCTCTGCAGCAGAATATCAAAGCGCATAGCAAAGTCCAGAGCAAAGCCCATGAGCAGTGACAGAGTTCAGTGAAACTGCTCTTCATCAGTAAGGATTAATCAGTGCTGTAGTTTTAAAGGGGACTTTTGGTTTGACCTAATAATACGGCTGCACTAGGCTATGCCAAAACTAAGAAAACACAAATATTATCTTGCAGAGGTGAGGAAATAAGTCTTCCTCTCCCCAGTCCTTCCTTGTGTGTGACAGCAGGCAGTGATGACAGCTACTCAGTCTTCACATAGACAGCAAGAAGACAGCGTATACCTGTTTTGGCAGTGAGGTCATACTTTCAGAGGCATGAGCACACGCATTCTCCACCTGCTACCCCCATCGAGCGGTCAGCTCCGCTTCCCTTGTCACCCGAGGTTGTTTTGCACGCAGGAATTTCATTAGCTGTGTGCCGCTGACATTGTTTTGGGAGCCTGACAGCGGGAGCAACACCACGCTGCAGTGCCAGGCGGTGAACTCATGGCAAGAGGCGGCTCCAGCTGCTCCCCCGGGGAAGGGGGGTGTGTGCGTGCCCCTGTCAGAGTGGCTTTGGTCTCTGGTCAGGGAAGGGAAGCTGCTGCTGGTTACTTTCTGGTTACTTTCTAGTTACTTTCAGTTCCTAGCACCTGTGCCCAAGCTGTCTGGGCTCTCCTCTTTCATGAGTGCAAGGCAAACCTTAGCTTTTTAGCACAACTCGTGCTTTTCTCAGCTGCACTGTGCAACTTGAAAGGGCAGACAAAGTATTTTCTCTCCGCTGCCCTAACTTACGGTGTGGTCTGGAAAGAGTTAAATTGCTTTTCTTATCTTTCACCCACACTCCCTGCCCTGCTTTTCCTTCTCCCCCAGCCTGCTCCTTGACATATAAGAAGCAAGTATGCTGGGGCCGCTGGGAAAGGAACCTCCTAGACCTAGGGAGAGGGTTGCGCACAAATTCGGAGACCTGGGTACATGCTGCTTCCTATAAAGTTTAGCCTCAGCATTTTCCACTGACACAGCAAAGGTTCAGTCCTCAGGACTAGGGAATTAGGTTGCCACGGCCTCAGCTAACCTCCTCGCATCTTAGACCCAGGCATGCCTTTACAGACTAAGGAGCAGGATGCCACGCTGTGCCCTGTGCAAGAAGGGTCGGATGGGAAGGGGTGCCACGTTTTGCGCATCGTACCTGACCTGGGCAAAAGCAAGCTGACCAAAACCCGAGAAGCCCACCATCCCGCAGCTGCCTCGCAGACTCTGCCCTCAGCCTTACGCCGACACACACACGGGTTCCGCGTGGCATCAGACAACGTGAAGGAAGCCCAGCTCTGGGATTTATTTGCCCAAGGACCGGCCGCAGGCCCCGTAGAGGCGCCCAGGCCAGGAAGTTTCCATTGTTTCCTCCTCCCCACGCCCGAACAATGTTATCGGCGGCGCAAGCCCCTGACGGGGGCCGCGAGGGTCACGGCTTTCCTCCCTCTCCTTCCCTGCTCCCACGCGTGCGCCCGCGCTATGCTTCTGGCCAGCTCCTTCCTGTAAATTCCTGCCAAGCAGCCACCAAACATACACATGTGTATGTACGCGCACACACACACACGGACATGCATACGTACACGCTCACACACAGAGATAAGCAGGCGGAGGGGCAGCAGCGCAGCGGCAGGCGCTGTCAGCACCCCCACGTATCCCTGGAGCAAGTCCCGGTGTTCCCGCAGCTGCTCCTCGCCCGGGGCGGGGAGAGCCCTCG